CACCAGTTCTGCATTGGTGGCAGATGGCCATGCCCTAAATTCATGCTATTTGTTGAGTCACTGTTGCTGTGTTGGGCTGGACGGACAGATTTCTTAAACAAATAGAAATGTTTTGGCAGAATTGTCAAACTTGTAGAGAAATCAGCATAACAATGGCATATTTAAAATTGTCACTTGGGAAAAAATATGTTACCATTAAAAAGTGACACACTTCACCTTTAATGTGCATGTTAAACATCTTATTCTTATTTATGTGCATGTTAAACTTTCTTATTCTTACTTATTAATTACACAGTTATTCATTTATATGCAAGTGTTACTTTAAAGCAGTAATTCTCAACCTTTTTGACTACAAGGCCCACTGTTTACAACAATATTAAAAGTTATTTAAAGATATTAAATTCCAGTAGTTATAATTAAAATTAACTCAAATTTTAGAATTCTAGATGTTTGGAGATTAACAAAAAAAAAATTTTGTTTTTTAGATTATTAGTTGTTTTAGCTTTAAAGCTTGTTTTGTTTTATTTTACATCATTTATTTTAAATCAAGTCATCTTGAGGCCCCCTTGGAAGTTTGGAAAAAAAACTTAATGGGCCCCAGGCCCCTGGTTGAGAGACAATTCTTTAGCGCAAGGTTCTCTAACAAAAATAACAATCATATTTTTTCTTCTAAAAGCCTTTGAAAAGTTTAATTTGTTTCTGAATTTGTTTAGTAGTACTCTTTCCCCTCAACATTCTTTTCTATTTGTCTTGAGCAGGTGTATTCAGGTGGAAGATTAAGGAGGAAGACCAGTGTAATGAGGTGGGGTGTATCAGGAAACTACAAACCTCATTCCACAGAGTCAAGGAAACACAAACCATTAGACAACACTGTCTTTCAGAAACCAGACAATACCCTTTTCATCAACGAACAACGTGTGTGCTGTGTGTGTGCACATATTTGCTGACAGTCGGGGACACCTCTGCAGGTAAATTGCATTTTCTTTTTTTCTTTTTTCTTTTTTTTTTCTTTTGCCATCCCGTTGGCAGCTGCTGTTATTCAGGTGTCTGTCCGTTATTGCAACATTTGGTACTATTCAGATGAAAAACATTACACAAAAAAATCCTTCTATATTGGCAGGTGATACTTGTTTATTTTCTTAATACTTGCACTCTTATGAGATTTCCTTCTGTCAACAAACTGACACTGTTGTAGTTCTCAAGTGCCTCTGCAAATGCAAACAAAAGTCCAGGTTATATCTTTATGAGAACTTGTGGACTCCACAGATGGTCTACATTTACTCAGAATAACGTCTTCAACACTCTGAGGACAGTCCACAGTGCATTCTTGCCCTTGAGATTCATTCAATGTAAAGTCTCAGCACATTTGTATAAAAGCCACAACACATGCAGACACAAAGGAGTGAACTAGTTCTAATCATAAAGTTGTCATCAGCGGATTTGGAATGTTCTGGGTTGCCGTGGGCAATAAGTGTGAACCTTCACTCAATTAGACAGATTACATTCCATCTGTGGCTAACAGATTATCTAAACAAATTCTGCAGGTGAAATAATTTAATTAAAAACACACACACATTTACTTAGCTATCTAAATAGGGAGATACAATAGACTTCTATTGTTTTATTATTTAGCTCATTTTCACATTTAGCTCACTTTTAATTCAATTTTGCCCCCAAACTATAGCTAAATATGCATATACACACATTTTGTAAATTTATATTAAATCAAGTTAATTATAATTACTTGACTACCCCTACCCCTTGAAGGATTTACTTTGAATTTATTTATTTATTTATTTATTTGTGTTTGTTTATTTATTTTACTTTTCCCAATGAGAAAATCTTTAAATATAAAATAATTGAGGTTTTGCCAAATTTAGCTCATTTCTATAGCTTTCATTTTTACTTTTGTCTGTGTGTGTGTGTGTGTGTGTGTGTGTTCCAGTTGAGGACATTCTTGAATGGTTGAATGTTTAGCCTATTTTTTTTGGTGACAAATTTGTCCAGAAACTAGCTAAGAGACTTTCTCTCAAGAAATATTGGATCGCTTAAGGTGCACCAGCATTAGCCCCGACCCAGAGTTCAGGGATTCAGTCAGGTCACTGTATATTGAAACCCCAGGTGTGAGATTTCACACAAGCACAAACGTCCAACAACAACACTTGAAGATTTTATGTATCACCCTATGCTTACATTAAAGTCAATACATTGCCTGTTTGCCGCTGTCCAGCCCCAGTCTACCCCATATCACATGTATTGTGCTTTCTTCCATCTTTAGCCCACTATCTGCCCCCATGCTAACACATAAGCCACTATCTGCCCCGGGCTGAGTGTTTCTGTAAAACTATTATTGGCGAGGGGCTGTTTCATTTTGATGTGGGTAATTTAACAAGAGTCCCATAAACGTCTGCATTTTTCTTTCAGAGTGCTGTAGTTTTGTCTCTCATTTCTTTAACAAGCTGGAAAACACTTCAAGAGGAATCAGACTCCAACACATGCAAACCAGCTGCAACAGGTCAACACAAATGATCAACAACAGGATTTGAGCGTGTTGGATCCTTTACTGAACAGAATAAAGTTCTATTGAGTTGGAAATTGGATAAATATTTGCTCAATTAAATGCAATTTGGGCAAGTTAGTGCAACTGATATGTGTGTAATTATTGTAATCTGAGAATGTTCCTATAATTATGCAATTCATTTGATGCCAGTTTTGGAACAGGCAGAGAATATTCTGTGAACACTGCTCTTGCACCTCTAATGAAAATTAATGCTGCTTTATTCCCATCAAAGTATTTGCCTGCATGAGGTTTTAATGAATAATCAATAGATTGACAGTGTCTTGGAAATTAACTTCAAAATGACAATCCAAAAATTGTAATTCTATGCTATTTACTCATGTCCTGCCAAACTGTGAGCATAAAACCCACTGGAGATAGAAGCATTCAGGCTTCAAAAAGCCATATGCTTTGTTACCCAAATATTTCTTAATTTAACATTACCATAAAGTTTTCCTTTCCAGTGAGCTGCTACATTCAAGTGTTTTGATCTTCTGATGTTTACTGCAACAGGTCAACACAAATGATCAACAACAGGATTTGAGCGTGTTGGATCCTTTACTGAACAGAATAAAGTTCTATTGAGTTGGAAATTGGATAAATATTTGCTCAATTAAATGCAATTTGGGCAAGTTAGTGCAACTGATATGTGTGTAATTATTGTAATCTGAGAATGTTCCTATAATTATGCAATTCATTTGATGCCAGTTTTGGAACAGGCAGAGAATATTCTGTGAACACTGCTCTTGCACCTCTAATGAAAATTAATGCTGCTTTATTCCCATCAAAGTATTTGCCTGCATGAGGTTTTAATGAATAATCAATAGATTGACAGTGTCTTGGAAATTAACTTCAAAATGACAATCCAAAAATTGTAATTCTATGCTATTTACTCATGTCCTGCCAAACTGTGAGCATAAAACCCACTGGAGATAGAAGCATTCAGGCTTCAAAAAGCCATATGCTTTGTTACCCAAATATTTCTTAATTTAACATTACCATAAAGTTTTCCTTTCCAGTGAGCTGCTACATTCAAGTGTTTTGATCTTCTGATGTTTAATCAAAAAGGCATAACTGGACCTTTCAGCTTAAACTTTGCCCCTTCAAGCTCACACTCATTTGCCTCCATTTCTGAGTGCAACGCCCAAATCCAATCAACAATCGATGCCTATAGAACCAAGTCCATTCCAACATTTTTTATTTTCTGATAATACGTTACCACTCAAAAATACATCACAATATGCAAGAAAAGATCTGTTGCTCCTTGCATTTCATGATGGCTTTAACTGCTGCAACATTGATATGAATCCAAATCAAGAATTTTCGAGAAATTATACAGACTGAAAACAGAGTACTACAGGATTCAAATATTGCTACAGCTAACCACTGTTCAACACACATCACATTACATGAGATATGTTTAAGAAACATTTAGTTTAAAATAAAAATGCAGGAACATCAGTTCTGTCGAGTGAATGAATTTGCCTCTGTTGGACACAGACACACACACACACAAAGCTTTATCATAAGAAGTGGGCATGAGACCCTTGGCCTGCAGTGGTCTCTTTGGGATGGCATTTTTCGGTGGTGTTCACGGACACTCACCTCGCCTTCATGCTGGCTCCCAACCGTGTTTTTCTAACCTTTGGTGTGTTTATGACTCACCCCTGAGCCGAGATGTGTGTGGTTCATTTGTTTCACTCCCCTTGTTTTCACTGGCCTCCAGCCCCGCTGTTATTCATAGGCACCCTAATCACCAGCGGGGAATATGCTTTATAATCACAGACCACATGTTCTCAGAGGCTGGGGGAAGGAGGGTCTCTTGGGCAGAATTAAATAAATAAATATATAAATAACTTTTTTTTTTAAATGCCTCCGTATGTGGTATCCACACATCTGTTTTCATTTAATGTTATGGAACCATTTTCAATGATCAAATCAATTACATACATTCTTACACATGCTCCGGCCAAGATATTTTCGGCTGCAGTCGAGTTAACGCACATCAAACATCAGTTCTGCTCTGATTCTGATGAACACCCGATACGTCAGCTGCACCTGAACGGATGGTGAGATCCATTCCTCTACGCCTGCAGTGTTTGTAATTAGTTAAAGCTGTGTAACGCACAGCCAGAGGAAAAGTCTGATTCTTTGACTCTTAGGGGAATGATAGAGCATTTTAAAGACACTAATCATATTGTGGCAGAACATATACTAATGTAACAGTGAGAAAATCTCAAAATGAGGTGGAAGATAAACCAATGGCATGATTCTTTTGCTTTGACAGCTGCTAAAATATCGTCAAATCAGACCCACTGAGTGCTTCTCCTAATTCCTGTGTTCAATAATCTGATCTGTGTTTGTGGAAGCAGTTATGCTTTAGAAATGACAAAACCTATTATTAAAATGAAGTCTGAAATCTGTGGCCCCTTTCTTCTTTGTTGCGCTACTACCATTATTCCAGGTCGACAGGTGGCGCTAGAGTGTGACGGCACTCTTAACTATCCATGAAGAGAAGAAAACACATACCCTAGTTACACACGTGTAAAACAGAAACATGGGCAAAAGAAGGCGAGGAAATCAAGAGATTACCAATTTAACTAAGAAACAGAAGAAACATCTAAAAGAATTTGGAGAACAGCACCCTTTTCACGATAAGTAAGTATAGTGATGTGTTTTTTTAGACAGTATAAGTTACATTGGGAGCTTCAAGTAGCAAGTACTAACACTTTTAATGGTTTCGGTTTTTTAGTGTTGTTGATAGACCGGAGAAGACTCAGATTTTGCGCTTGGTAAGTAATTATAGACTAATATTCTTTCTTTTGCCATCACTTTAAGGATTGATCCTGAAGGTCCAGAAACCACTTTCTGAACCCAGTCAATAAACCAGGTGAATGAGAAGCATTTGGCAGCTGAATGCATGTACACTACGTTTAATATTGCATATAGGACAAGTAGTGTGGAAAAATGTGTTTGGGTAGATCTGATCAGAGAAGCTGCCCCTGGTTTAATCTTAATAGTTTGCCACTCAGGTTGAAGTTTTATTGTTCATGTTTTGTTTCAAACCATCACATTAAAAGTGTTTCTGCACCTGAACAGCCTGACAGTCCACAGCACCCTGAACATGACAGTAAGGAAGACAGTGATGAAGAGCAGCTGTCTGCTTATCAGAAACTGCTGACCACCATGATCCAAGGTGCTGATGACAACAGTGAAGATGAAGAAAGTGACGGTGAGGATGACGGAGAGGAAGTTGAAGGTAAGATCTTTTACAGTCTCATACTTTACACTTTTCGATATCAGTTGCGGTGCTTTATCTGAAAAGGTCTAATGGCCTATAATTAACTTTTTTTTCAATTAGGAGAAAGTGAAGAAGAGGAGGAGGAGGAGGAGGAAGGTAATGATGCTGAGGAGGATTTAGAAGAAGGGGAGGGTGAAACACCTGATAATTCACAAAATAAAGAACACCCTGAAAAGACAAATGGAGATATAGAAGAGAATGAAAAGGTTGAGACGGAGAGAGAATTTACAGATAAGAAGAATGAAGCTGCATTCTGTCTGGAGACCAACCTGCCTGCGGAAGGAGAGGAAAACATGGGAGAGCAGGAGGAGGAAGGCAAGACATTCCCATGATTCATCAGTCCGACTCTTTGAATTCTGACCTGAGATGATTTATACATGCTTGCAATTTATTGTTTTGCAAACTCTTAAGTGTAGTATTCAAGCCTGACAAGATTGATTTCCTTAAGAAGCAAACTGAAAACCTAGGCCCAACTAGAGTGTAAAAATGCCTCTGGTTATTGTAGACATATTTGCGAAGCACCAGGAGACTGAACTGAGTGAAGAGGAAGTGGGACAAATCTTGCAAGGATCAAAGATCAAGTCTCAGGTTAAGGTATGTAACTTGTAAGAATTTTTTTTTTGCAAGAAGTAAAAACAGTAATATTGTGAAATATGAATGCGATTTAAAATAACCATTTAATGACATTTAATTAGCTGTAGTTTAACTTATGAAATAACTAAATGTTGTTATTATTAGGGTGGTAACATGCTGATTTGGTGCTCAAGAAACATTTTTTATTGTTGACAATGTTGAAAACAGTTGCAGTGTTAATATTTTTATGGAAACCGTGAAACATTCTTTTATTAATAGAAAGTTCAAAAGAACAGCATTTATTTGAAATAAATATTTTGTAACATTATTAATGTCTTACTGCCAATTTTTATAAATGTAATGCATCCTTTTCTGAATAAGTCTTTAAAAAAAATCTTACTGACCACAAAAAGGTGTGAAATTTTACATTTCTTCCTCACCCGTCAGTGGCCAAAGCTGGGCACTCTGCAGTGTATGTGTCCATCGGAACATTTCCCAGCCGTGGGGCAGCCCTCTTCTGCCCCTCTTCCAACCATCCACAAAACCCTGGAGGCAAATTGGTGCTTGTTAAACCAGTTCTTTGCACCTGAAGGAGGCGCTGTGACAGATGTTACAGAGCTGCAGAAGGAATTGCTTGGGCTCATGGGTATGTCAACAAAATTTAAAAAACACCAGGCATCCTAATTTTTAAAATGTTACTTTGCTATGACTTTTTTCATTATCCTCATCTCCCATATTTTGTTTTTGCAGGTACTTACAGGGATGTACATTTTACAAACAGCTCCCCCTTGAGAGAGGCCAAGGAAGTGCGGAGTGCGTACTGTCTTCATGTGCTAAACCATGTGTTAAAGGCAAACACTCGTGTGCTTAGAAATAATGCCAAGTTGAAGGAAACTAAAGATGTGAATGAGGAGTTTCGGGACCAGGGCATTACTAGACCAAAGGTACCACTGTCTTCATATGAGTACAGTGTTTTTGTTTATTTTTAATACTGCATTGGTTAGTTTTTAATCAGTTTGTTTTGTACTTGATGTTAAACGTAAATGTTATAAAATCATTTTAAATGTAAGTCATTGACATGTATTCTCTTGATTACAACATGAATAAAAGTGCTTTAAATTAGCCAACCACATTCTCATAATTAATTCTCCCTCTTTTAGGTTTTGATTCTGGTGCCGTTCAGAGATGGAGTGCTGCGAGTGGTCCAGACATTCATAACACTTTTAGAGCCTAAAGGCAAGAAGATGGATGTCAGTAACAAGAAGAGGTTTAAGGAAGAGTATGGAGAGGAGCCAGGTGAAAGTCCGCCCAAACTGCACAGACCTGATGACTACCACGCTGTCTTTTCTGGAAATACAGATGACCATTTCAGGATAGGTACTGTAAAGTTTTTCCCCTTAACTGAAAACCTTTATGATATTTGATGCACGTTAATGTTTGAATGTTAAAATAATTAAAGCTGTCTCTGCATATTGGGTTAGGGTTAAGCAAGACAATGATAATGGATTGTTTCAAGCCCTTTGGTTCTCCTAGTGTCAGAGAAATTATACAATTCATCTGATACCTTAGTTTCAGCTGTTTAATTTTACACCTTTGATTTTTGTTTTTTTATTGTGCCTCATTTCTATTTTTCTCTCTCTATGGGCAGGTGTGTCTATCATGAAACGAAGTATGCGACTCTATTCTCCCTTCTACTCTTCTGACATCATCATTGCATCTCCACTGGGTCTGCGCACAGTTCTGGGTGCAGACAGTGAGAAAAAGAGAGACTTTGACTTCCTGTCCTCCATTGAACTTCTGATTGTGGACCAGGCAGATGTGTTCCTCATGCAGAACTGGGAACACTTGCTGGTGGGTTTCAGTTGTCCAAAGGTTCTTTTAGAACACTTTAATTTCAATTCAAATTTCAGATTTTAAATTTAATTGCACTGTGATTTGATCATTGTGTTCTCTGTGTAATAAATTATAATGTAGATATATTTTGATATACTTTTTCTGTGTATAAATATGTATAAATGGCTGTTTTCCTTTGTTTGTGTTGCAGCATGTGTTGAAGTATTTGAATCTGCAGCCGCTGGACTCACACGGTGTTGATTTCTCTCGTGTACGCATGTGGAACCTGAACAACTGGGCAGCGCATTATAGACAGACGCTGGTGTTCAGTGCCATACAAGAGCCTCAGATCACCAACATCCTTACCAAACACTGCCACAACTACAGGGGTCAGGTACACAACCAAACGCCTTGAGAACTGTTCAAATTGTGAAGTATTTGTATTTTGGGGGGCTAATCTGATTGGCTCTGGTCTGTTAAAAGGTTTTGTCAGTACAATTTTTTTAAAGAAATTAATACTTTTATTCAGCAAGAATGCATAAGACCATTATAATGTTACCAAAGATTTTTATTGTAAATAAATGCTGTTCTTTTGAACTTTCTATTTTTAAAAAAAGTGTATCACTTTTTCCACAAGAATACAAATTCAGTTTTATTTTTATTTTTTTTAAATAAAATTAATTACACCGACACTAAACGTTTGAAGGTAGTTTAAGTATACAGATACTGTTGTTCATCTTTCCCTCAGGTGTGCAGTAAAACTATTCCAAAGGTGGGCTCAATCTGTCAGGTACTGGTGCAGTTGCCACATGTATTCCAGATGTTTCACTCTGACAGCTTCATGGACCAGGATGCCAGGTAAAAGATGCCTGCTGTTTTTCATTCTGAACACTAGAGAGCAGCAGCGTTCAGTCTGCACAGAGGAACTTCTGAGAGAAAATATAGTTATGACTATGAAATAATTTAAGTAACTGATTTCAGACTTTTATTTTACTGAAACTCATATTGGAAAGTGAGTAAGATGCTACCATTATTTGTGGGCTGAAAGCAATGAATATCATTCATACTGAATTTCCATGACTACTGCATTTACAAAATGTGATATTTTGAAAGAACTGTATTCAGATGACAGCATATGGTCAGCCTATAATGTTTAATAATTACTTGCAAGTATTTAAACAGTATTATCCTTTAGGTTCCAGTTCTTTGTGGATAAGATCCTGCCCCAGTACAGAGACTCTGTCATGTCCCACACTTTCATCTATGTGCCATCGTATTTTGATTTTGTTCGTCTGCGGAACTACCTGAAGAAGGAAGACGTCAGTTTCGCTAGTGTCAGCGAGTACTCGCAGAGATCAGAGGTGTCTCGAGCACGACATTACTTCCAGAAAGGAGAAAAACAGTTTATGCTCTTCTCTGAGAGATTCCACTTCTACAAGAGGTGTGTGTTCTATAAGCGTATTATCATTTGCATACTTCATATACACTACTGTTCAAAAGTTTGTGTTAGATTGTTTAAGTTGTTAGATTTTTTTAAGGAATTAATGCTTTTGTTCAGCAAGGATGCATTAAATTGATCAGAAGTAACAGTAAAGACATTTATAACAAAAAAAAATACTGAAGGATCATGTGACACTGAAGACAGGAGTAATGGCTGCTGAAAATTCAGCTCTGCCTTCACAGGAATAAATTACATTTTTAAGTATATTAAAACAGAAAACTTATTTTAAATTGAAATAATATTTCAAAATATTTCTGTTTTTACTACATTTTTTATCAAATAAGTGCAGCCTTGGTGAGCAGAAGAGACTTTTTTCAAAAGCATCAAATAAAATCAAACTGACCCCAAGGTTTTCAACTACTATATAACTCATTAAAAAATGATGCAGGCCAATATAAAAAAAAAAAAAGTTATTATATTCAATTTTTTTCAGTTTATTTTTAATTTAAATTTTTACATGTTATTAATTCTCTTTTCTCTTAGATACACTATCAAGGGCATCCATAACCTGATCTTCTACGGGTTGCCTACATACGCTCACTTCTACAGTGAAGTGTGTAATATGCTTCAGGCTGGTGTCAGAGAGGGTGGTGCTTCTGTCAGCTTCACCTGCACAGCCCTGTACTCCCGATATGACATGCATCGTCTGACTGCTATCACTGGGGTCGACCGCGCCGCTCAGATGCTCCAGTCCAAAAAAACAGTGCACCTTTTCATCACAGGGGAGGAGAAAAACACATGAACGGGTACTGTGAAAAGCACATGTGACATTTTCAACCTCTCAGACAAAGAAAGTAATCCGTGTTTGTGATAATGGCCACTTCTTCAGATATACAACTCGCACACTCGCGTCGTCTTCAGATAAAATTCTGTCATTTGACAATGTAATGTTCTTGTTCGCATGTCTTTTTGTGTTCTTTTTTTAGTATAAAAAAGTCTTCTTTCACTGAAGTCACAGCCCATATCTTTGGCTCCAGTGTGTTTTTTTTTATAATTACTTTCAAAAGGTTTACAGAGCTCAACAATAAGGATGAGAAATTCTGACCGGCTGAAGTGTCACCTGTCTTGTCAGAAAAGTGTTACAATGTCACTATATCTTACATTGATTGTAACATCCAATAACTAAACTTTTCGTTTATTGAATGTTGCTGTAAATTGTGTTGAGCAACTAATGCTGATATGTGCTCTTCAAGAGAATTTAGGATTAAATCTCCTTTAAAGTTAATGCTAAATGTAGCGAATCAGCTCATGGGGAAATATGAATAATTAATCATAACTAGTTATAATTTATGGGAAAAATTAAAATAGTTAAAACAGTTAAATACCAAATATTACCAAAAAAAAAGCTAGTGTTGACGAATATGTTGCCAACAAATTAAGCAGTAATATTACATTATAAAGTATTTAATAAGGTTTCAAACTGTATGCAATACCGTTTTTATGAATTTATAGCTGTTGTGGAGTTACATTAAAACTTTAAAGAAAGGTTTGATGTAAAATCTGAACAAAGGTTTGGGGTCAGTAAGTTACTGATACTAGCTGCTGGTTATTATAAATTGTAGTAATATTTCACAATATTACTGTATTTTTGATCAAACAAATGCTTTACTTGACCCAAAAAAATTTAACACTTGTCATTTTTTTTTATTGTTAATTATGAAAACAAATATTTATTGTAGTTGTGGGGCCACTAAAATAAAAATCTGAACTACTGGTCAGCAGAAAAAATGAGCTGCCTTTATGGTTCAGTGTAGTAAACACACAGTTGCAGTTAAGCTCATTTTGAAAGTGTTGTGCAAATTAGACGAATTTGAGTACTTTAGTAATCACTGCTTTTTATTGTGGCTTGTTAAATGACATGAGCAAGAGTTCACCTCTAATGATCATCACGCTGGAAACGACTGTGATTCATCTAATTACCTCCCAATGTGACAGTTCTGTATGAAGTGGAACGTTTGACAATTTGGTTTTAAAGTCACATTGTCTCTCAAACTCCCCGGTGATCAGATGCACTCTTGTTTTTTGCTTTCTTTTTTCTTTGCTCGGTTTCTCTGTCAGTTGGAAAATGGAGCAGATGTTTCACACACACACACACACACGCGCTCTCTCTTTCATAGATGTGCACTCTGTTTCTCTCACACGTATACACTCACATGTCATAAATAATGAAAGAAATGAGTGTGTGAGTTGTTTGGTTAAGGCCAGCATCTGACTATCAAACAAAACCATTGATCCATCCAACAAATCTCCTTCCAGTTTTTTCCCATGAACACACAATCCTGCTGTGCTGCCTTTTGAATCCTCTCTAAAACTCCATTGGGATTCATCTGCTGACCTCTGGGCACTCATACAGTGATGCCACAAAACATTATTTCTGCTGAGCTTGCATATTATCATCTGTATCATTTACTACAAAAACTGAGGAACTGTACCTAAATAAATTCTCATATGCATTGTTGGATGGATGTGAGGAAGTGCTCTGTGCAGCTGTTTCATTGAGCGGTATGTTATGAAATATTAAACAGTAGAGCTGGTGTTTTTTAGTGCTTTAGCTGAGGCAGTGTATTGCTGCAAATGTGCAAGAGACGATAATGTTTGTAAGTGTGACGTGTACGTGCCTACCCTTTACATCTGAGCCCCATTTTCTGTATTACAGCGTTTTTGGGCTTGTTCACAGATGTCTGAGCTTTTTAAAATATAAAAATATCATATAAAAATCTAAAATATTTTTTGCACAAGATCTTCATGTAATCACATCAGTAAAGCATCTTAATAATTGTATTAATCTAGTCATGGTGCAGTGTCGGTATCATTTTTAATCTTAATGATAATTAAATATTTTGCGTCTGTAATTTCGATCAGGCTTGTTTGTGTGGGACCTGTGAAAACAGACAGACCTGACCAGCGAAGGTGACCTTTTTTCTCAATTACGCTCACATTTGTTCTCCATTTGTGTGAAACACCCCATCGCTCTCTTTCTCCTGTGAGTCCAGCCTCTCGTGTTTATTGGAGTGTGGGTAGTCTGTTGCCTTGGAAACCCCTCTGTGCTCCTATCACGAATCTAGTGTGTGTGTGTGTGTGTTTTGGGAGTGAGAGCTCTGAACTGTGTTTGGAGCTCTGCCCATCAGGTGGTAACAGGTATCAGGAGCACCTTTTCTTTTCACCTGTACTTGGATCGGGGCTTTTAATCACATGTTGCATTCTGCATTATACAACATTTCTCATTGGCCAAACGCCATTTGAAGAACACTGATGTAACAATGCAACATCGTCATATTTTTTCCCCCACTTTTTGCATCACTAAGCTTCTCTGTGCTTGTATGTTCCAGGCCAGTGTTGTTATTAACTAGAACTATTAAAAAGTTTTTTGTTAATTGAAATAAAGCTGAATTATATAACAGACGAAAAAAACTTTTTAAAATAAGTTTTAATCTAAAATAATAAAATTAAAACTAAAATAAAGCTAAAAATGACAAAAGCATATTACTAAAATTAAAATGGATTCTGATAATATAAAAAGTAAATTCTAAATATTAATAAGTAGGCTACTATAATGGTATCTAAATAAAATGAAAATGACACTGTTCCAGACATATTTTCAGTCCGTACATTAGTTGTGGGTATTTCTAAGTGATGTTTTCTGCAGGTTTCATTGATACGCCAGTTGGTGGCAAATGTCATGAAGTGAAGCGCTAATCGTTCACTCATCCGATTCCTTCAAAAACAAAGGCTGAATTTGGAATAGCATAAACCCAGACTATTATTACTATGTTTAAATCAATAAATTCACACTATTACTACTATTATTACTACTACTACTCTCCGTACTTTGTACTATTCCAAATTCAGCCTGAATTATTCTGGAACAAAACAAGTGATTGTCTTTACGAGTCACTGAATCACTCAACTGATTCATTCAAAATCACATTCTTTCAGGAACGCTGCTATACTGTGTTTTTCTAGGAAATGTGAGACGAATAATTCTGCCTTAACTATTTTCATTGGTGGAGCAAAAATATGCAAAGTAACTGGCAGTGTCTAAAATGCAAGTTGCTCAATATTAACTTCTTGTCAATGGAACTATTGTAAAATATATAATTTTGGTCTGAATATATGATGTTTGTGGTTTGCTGAGTTTCTGTTATTAGCAGGTAAAAGAAAGTTCCAACTAAGCTAACCAGCATAAATAATGTACTGTTTCTAGCGGTTTTGATTATTTGATAAGATCAGGTGGTGTTTACAGCTCCTGGATAAATTGATAGTCACTTAAGGTTTTCTCCGTTAGAAAGCCCTCCAAAGTGAAGCTGTCTGGCTAGGGAGAAACTGACAGTTCTGTCTTCTGATAGGTTATCGTTTTCCCAGAAGAACTTGTGCAGCTCGTCTCACAGACAGAAACGGACAAGATTAGGAGCAGTGGTGGACGAAGTACACAAATCAAGTACTTGAGTAAAGGAGGCATATCCTTTCCTGGTTTATACGTTTTTCTGTGCCCAAAATAAGCAAAGATCAGGTTTTTCTTAGTCAAAACGTACATAGAAGGTTGGGAACATACATGCAAGTTTATTTTAAGACAAGATGCTTAGCTGTTCACCTCATCTCTCTCAGAGAGAAGACCAAAGAGTTGTATTGATTTGTCTAAGGCCAGATCAATCTTCCTCTTCATCTCTTCCTGAAATTGAAAGGGTTAATGGATGTCTGAGTGTTTCTATGACAACACAGATGAGACTGATGAGCACAACCATTTGGAAGAAGCTCTCAATTCACAATCCAAAAATAACCACACACAAAGCAAACCTAAAGAGATGGCAAGGGAGGAAGAGGAGGTCAGCTATTGATAGAGAAAATTCTGTCCAGACATCCAAACCACCCCAGTCAGATAACCTCTCACACAGACTGCAACTCAAATGCTAGTTTCATACTAAAATAGATCATGATGGTTATCTGCATACAGCATGGCATTTCCTTAATGCACAAAGAAGACAGACGCATTAAAAGTTTCTCTCTAAAAGTTTTGAATGATTTGAAATAATTACTAGCCTTGGACAGTTTTCATTGACTATAAAACATTTGCCCTCAATTTTTATCATCAGATGGTAAATACAAAAAAGAAATAAATTTGACCTACGTATGGATTCTTGAGATATTATAAAATATTACTTAAATATAAAAATAGCAACTAAAATGAACATAATGCCAGATGAAAATTCTAATTTTGAGCAATTTGTAATTATTTTTTACTTTATGCATTTTAGGGTTTAAATTTTTGGGTTCATGCAGTATGTGCTATGTTCTTTCTTTCATGTGTTTTTTCGAGCATTTGTTCGAAGATACTCAAAATCATGAACAAGAAGTTACAGAGTCTAAAGTGCTTGTTTCCATTGATTTTGTGTGTTGGGATCATTGTCCGTTTTTGCAGTTAGCTGGTGGAGGGGTGTGTGCGTGTCCTCACATTTGCTCTGCCAATTATTACCAATCAAATAGAGAGAGATGTGAGCAGTCAAAACCCATTATTTCAATTTACACATGCAGAAAGAAAGAGGGATGAGAATTATTTAGTCATTCTTAATTGTCAGTGACATTTCTGTGATGTTATGGCTTTGGGATAGGAGTAGATGACCTCGTACACATCATTAAACCTGTCCCCAGTGCCAGTTAACACTGAAAATGTTTTTGTTTCTATTTTTAGGCTGGTATTGAATGTGAAATGAAAAGAAAAGACTGATGGGGTCCATTGAGCAGATACAAAAGAGGATGGGAAATGATAGAGTAGATGGAGAGAGAGACTGATGGGAGACTGTTATTTCTAGCATGATGGCAAGGGCTTGTGTTTTTAACCAGAACAATGGGCGCATGGCAACAGCGGGTAACCATGGCGACTTTTAAGGTAGCCAGATGGGATTATGATAACATTGCCAATACTGCACTGTAAATTCCAATTAGTAAACCTTACTTAAAAAAAGCATGCAAACCGATTGCCTTGAAA